TACTACAAGGTTTCTGGGATGAAGATATCGACTGAAGGACAGAGAGATGCTGTATGAAGGAACTAAAAGGGAATACAAATAGAGGAGGCCTTGGTGGGCGACTGGATGAGGCCTCCAGTAAAGAAAACGACCCTTGCATGAGATGAGGAGATGCTGAGATGAGCCGAAGCTGGGAATGAATCGAAGGGAAAAGTCACATATCGCGAAGGTGTCAAGGGCTCGGGCATGTAGTGGCAGAGGCTGAGGAGGAGATTGCGCTTCGGCGCGCCAAATGTGGGTTCTCTGGACGGCTGGACTTGACATGATTCAACACATGGGTGAAGTCTGAGGTCATCCGGTCATTTAGGTGGGATGAGGCACTTGTACTTTACGGTAGTTAACCTGATCCGGCTCGGCCCCACCCGTGCTTGAGCTCCAGGAGGAGTGCAACGATAGTCACTTTACCTAGCATGTTAATGAACAAACCAAACCAAAATTATGTAGATAGGTTTATAGTCACTTGAATGAGCCCATAGGCCGCAAAATAAGGATAATGAAATCAAATAAAAAATGTATACAATTCAGTACACTCTATTTCCATTTCCCAGAACTAGTGCTTATATTCTGTCAACACAAACAATGTTATATAAAAATTTAGAGAGCAGGTAAATCGACGTAATTATATCGAAGAGCATTTCATAAGAGTAGATATGTTTTAGTCGTGACAAGATTATACATGAGCACCAGAATTAATGGGTAAAAATAGATGATTTTTAAAAACACGATTCTTCGTTATTTTTTGGTTCTATTCACATGAAATTACACCCATCAGAGACTTTTGAAACGGTATTATATTTTTATGCTAGCTTCTAATCAATAGCTCGCTTGTGAAGGAAACCCTCATAAAAAATTGGATATGATTATACAGACTATAAGTACTGATATCGCCGGTAATTTATAGCGCGTCGTAAAATAAGAGTTCTTCAGAGCTTGAATCACTCTCCTCCTCTTCTTTATGATAAGGTCTACTTGAAGTAGGCTCAACATACTCGAGTGCGTCAAAGAATCTTTGTTCATCAGAAAAAATAATTTGTCGACTTTTGCAGCTGGGAACACTAGTTTCATTTACAACTGCTATATTATCTGAGTTCTTGATAACTGATTCTTCTAGTTTCAGACCTCGAATCATTTTGCACAAGTCCTTGGGCTTGTGCCAGAAGAGACCTCTCTTTTCCTGTTTTAATTCTTGATTTACTTTTGGTGAATGAGGATACGTTTGTTCTGTTGGTGAGATTACGGCTATATTTTCAATTGTATTGTCTAAAGTGGTGGGTACTTTGACTGGTAAAATAGAATTCTTTCTTGGCTTGATAAGCTTGTTAGGAAGCGTGCCAGCTCTAGAAGAAATATCTAGAGGCACGAAAACCTTGTCTTTACCTATACTTGGGCCAGTTTTCGTATCTTTACCGGTTTCCCATGCCTTTTTTTCGTGATCTAGATTAGTTAAGAGACTTTTGAAGCCTAATTTTCGAATCGACTAACGCTTACCTCGTGAGTTATATTTTGTAGCTTTCTCCCGAAATATTTGTTCCTTATCCATAATATTTCCCATATTTTTAGCCTTCTTGGAGGCGACTCGAGATAAAAGCCTTGATGCCCCGTCTTTAGCGCTCGAAATCTTAGTTTTTTTTCTCCTGAAATCACTCTCAGTATAAATATTTTTCAAATTTTTATTTGTTTCTAGTGCTAATACACGAAAATTTAGCTCAAAATCCTTAGAAATATTACTCAAAGCTTTACCTTCCTTTGCGGAAATTTGGTCATCAATTTTCTGGAGAGATAGAGAAGTGTTACGCTTAGCGGTAGCAGCTAGAGTCTCTTGATCATAACTTGAAATTTCTAATAAATTCTTGTCACTTCCTGTGTTTTTAGGAGTTTTTTCATTGAAGTTACCATCTTTATTCTTCCTAAATGGGCGAACATCACTTATAGGTTGCTCCTGGGATATTTGTTCCGAATTTTGGGTATGAAACTGATGATAAGGATGCCAAGGCAAAGAATATTTCCCATTGTAATAAAAATCTTGTGGTATAAAAGTATGCCTTCGAGAGGGGTTCTGTGACGGATCCTTCAGATTTCTATGAGAATTTTGCTGTTGAGCTTTTGAACCGATAGAAAAAGTCTCAGCATGAGCTATTTGAGCAGCGTCTCTCGAAAAATTATGATTCTTCAGGCTTTGGTTAGAATGATCAATTTCATTTAGTCTTGTATTTGGCTCGGATCGTGGAAGTGTTATCTCCAGTCTCTCCGAGATATCGGAAAATAAACTAGAGCTATTTTTAGCGGGTCTTGTCAAACTTAAAGGCGTAGAGATAGATTTAGGTGTTGATTTGAAATCCAATTCAATATAAATATTAGAGCTAGACGAAACGGCTCGACTAGAGCTACCCATACTCTTGCTCGAGTATATGGCATCAGTAGCAGCAATCAGTGAAACTTTTTTTGTGTTGTTAATGGAATAGTTATTTATTTGGGAGTCTGAATCTTTGTTGTTTGTCTTTTGGAAAGCGAAATTTGCGGCGTCATTAATTAAATCTATTTTAGTAGGATTCCTCCCTTTGGTTTTTCTATCAAACTTATCAGTGAGCAGCTCGGATGTTGATTCCTGTAAGTTTTTTGCAAAGATCTTCAAGCCATGTGGAGCTGCCTCAGCTAACAGCTTGTCAGGCGAGTGCTCTTGGCAAACCTTATTATTCTGAAATTTTTCATAATCTGAGGACATTATAAAGTCTTTTGATGTGCATGTGGGTAGAAGTTAGTATTGGCATCAAAATAATTGAGTAGCACAGCATTCAAAAAAGGAACATACTGGCGGATGACTTTTCCAGGCTTTTGCATGTATATTCAGTGTCAATTTTGGATAAATCATATTTATTAGTTGCCATGACTTTTAATGTGATGATAATGTCCAGCTACTCCCTTAAATTTACAGTCTTAACACAACGCTATTGTACCCCGTTAATTAATATTGCTAGAATAGCTTGTACAAAAACAGATTGTAAATACTTTCTATCCTCTCTAAATTGGGTGTTAAATATTATCGATAATGGCGTTGGGAGCTAGCTCTGAAAGAATAGAAGCTTAAAATGAGGGTATACTAAGTTGTAAGTCTGAGGTATCCGAGGCATTTTTCAACTAAATTCTGCAAAAAATAGTGCGCAAGAGAGATTTAAGAGACTAGTGCAAGGCCATAGCTCTTTCCTCAATGTTCAATTATTGAGGAGTGACACTAGTTTTGAATTTCAAGGCTTGTGAGTTAGAGAACACCAACCGGCTTACTCGAGCTAGGCCAAAAATCAGATGGCCCCATAGTACAACCGCTTACAAAACCCAAGATTTTCATTAGTCGTTACATAAATATACTGTTGGCTATATTCGTCATTCGGTAGGACAAGTACGTGAGGTAGTGTATGAAACGTATTGACGTATCAGAATGTGGAGAAATGGTGTGTTGTCTTGATGTACATCAAAGCCGACCTATCAATATTTAATCCTTAGCGTAAGTCGTTGATTTCTTTTTGCATCAGATTTTAATTGCGTATGCAGCAATCTAGCTTTGACAAAATATCAGATTAAAAGTACAGAAATGATGAATCAATTTAAAAGATCATTCATGCTTCAGATTTCGTTTGCAAGTGCCACTGCGAAGTTATGGCGGCTTTTTCTTCACCCCAAATCAATCCTTGACTGTAAATACCCACCCAGGGAAACATCTCAAAAACCCTAAGTTATCCAGACAAGCCTGCATCATCCAATTACTTTTCTCCTTGCGAAATGTGGTCTGAGGCGTCTTCTTCCCAAGTGGAGTAGGTACCTTGGATACTCAAACTATAGCGGATAAGACCACCAGGGGGCAGACCATGGCACCTCCCATCGTTTGCTTTTGCTTGTAGTGTGAGCTGCACTCTCGCGAGCGAATTCTTGGCGCGCACAAAGCCCAATTCGTAAAACTCCTTGCCAAAATTCAGAATTTATCGCTCGTCGAGAATATGTCCCTCTTCTACATCATCTTGTAAACTTGTCCTAATACCTCTCACGTCCATCCCAAAGAACTGTCTCCCGGATTTATGCACCACGCTTTGCTTCCTGCTGCACGTTTTAATATTGGCGTGGGCATGTATTTGGTGACCGGCTGAGGCCAGATAAAATGTCGACGAGAGGTGTGATCATTAGAATGATGATTTACTAGGTCATGCTTTTAGACTTAATGAGACTTGGTTTAGAATTGATCTCGTTGGGAGTGAGGATTTGACATGGTGGAGTATTTTGAATCATTGCCTCGTGTGCCAACTTGTTCGGTTTTGCGAGGTTTGACTGAACTTGGTCCTGGGAAAATATTTCACTCCTAGGTTCGTAGAGGACACCGCGATCAGGTAAGCTTCAGGTATGAAGAGGTTATGACGGATAAATGTTCAGTCTTTGTCGTCTAATTGGTGATGATGTAAGATGGGATACAGCGTGACCATATGTCTAGGCGGCTACATTGACTGGTGCAATTTACGGGGGAAATGTTTCGTATTGTTGCAAGTGAGTGTATCCCTGTCCAATAATGCTAGGACAATAGTCTGATTGGGTATTCTGGGCCGACATTTCCGACCGTTTGTCATGGATAACTCAAATATTCATGCACACATGCATTGACTCTGGAGAAAGCCTAAAGATTCTCGAGACCTCAGGTCATTAATATTGGGAAATGATTCCACAGATTTACCAGAATTTCAATCAGCGACAGTTCGCGAAAGTAAAATCTTCACCAGTTCTTGGATTCTATAAGCAAAATCTTCGAATCGATAACAATCTGCGCGCTCGATTGGAGCCTTTGAATCGAAATTTGCAACTAAGTTTGTAGCCTTTTGCACTACATACATCAATTTTTAGTAATTTTCTCTAATCGGTTCATCTAGTTATGTTTCTCAAAGTATAAAATATCTGATTCACGCCTCAGAAGCATAGTAATCACCATGCCCTGGCAACCTCTGCCTCAGATTGCTTTCGCAGTCGCCATTCATCCATTTGCCGCCGAAGGACCTGCAGACCTTCCTCTCGAACTAGGGGACGAATTATATGTTATTGAGCAAGGTGGCTGTAATTGGGACTGGTTTCGCGGGTATCTGCTGGCGCCGCCAAGTCTACTGGTTGGGCTAACCAGCAATAAGGGCGAAACACTTGAGGCAAGAGTATTTTCGGGTATCTTTCCAAGAAGTTGCGTCGAGGTACGGGAGATCCTAGGAGATGATGCAAGTGAAGTAGAACCAAGCCAATCTTTGCCCATTGCAGAAGACAACACAACTAACCCTCAATGTACACAAGAACTAAAACGCCTCGATTTATCCAAAAGAAAATCTTGTGTAAAGTCTAAAGACAACACCAAGAAGAGTCGGAAAGCCAACTATATCAATAGCAAGCATTTTTCTAAGAATATAACTCGTGATCCAAGTGTACCTAAACCTCCAGCTCCCGTACCTATGCTTAAGATTGGAGATGAAACACCCACATCCTTAGAAGAGCCTCTTGTTGATGAGATTGCAAGCTGCTTACGAGAGTGGCAATCTACAAATTTGCATCAGCTTCTATTGGCAGGAGAATATGAGCTCCTGGACAAAATGTCAGCCCTCGTAACAAGCCTAGATACAGCACGAAAGCAATTGCTCTACGATTTCTTGACTAAACATGAACTAGCTGTTCTGCGGGAAAAAGTTGTGTGGGAACTTGTGCGCGGCAATAAACTTTTTGGAGCAGAAGTGATAGTTCGTAATCCTACTGAGCGCGGCAGGATTATGACAGGAGACGATTCCGCTGTTAATGTCGCACGCTTGCAGGGCCTGATGAGCTTGCTTGATGAACAACCACAAACATCCATCCATGATAGTCAAAATTTACATCATTTACTTGTCGATATTAAGACCGTAGTAGGAACCAGGACCGAAAACACGACACTGGTAATATACCTAGCGTTCAAAGCTCCAGGTCAAGCTGCTGTGTCACTCAGTGAGAGCTATATTGTGAAAGTACCCCCAAGTGGAGCACTAACTAGCCTAGCAAGGGCAGGTACCATGCGGACTTTGTTCGCTGACTTGAACTCCTCTGATATTGGGAACGCAACTACACCTAGAAATGAATTATATCTTGTTGTCAGGGTTCAGACTACCAAACAGATCAATGAGGGAGGACCAGATTCAAGGTCTACCTCACAAGATGGACAGCCCGGTAGATTGACTCCTCAAACAGCTAACTCATTTACCCGAGCAGGACGAAGAAGTATGATGTGGGGGAGTAGAGTTCAGAGAAGTGCCTTCTCCCGTCACTGCCCTAATTCATCAAAAATAACTACAATTGCCGAATCACATGAGTCAAAGTCGCGAAACCAAGAAACTCCTCCCCCTGCCACTGCAAATGCGAATGAAAACAATAGTATAATACGAAATTTTAATAGGACAGTTGGTATTGGTGCCCTCAGGCTTAACGATATTATGAAGGAGCAAGAAGAATGTGAGCGCGTGATGAATATTTGGGCGCTAGCTCCACGATCCTATGAAAGTAGGATTGACAGCCTGGAGGAAGTTATCAGAGAGTCCGGTGTTATAGAAACTTCTAGAAGAGCAGAGCGTCTACAATTACATCTAAAGGTATTCAACGCGGCAGACTCTGAGATTTTAATTAAAGCTACTCCAACTTTACTCTCTGGTATAACTGTTACAAATAAAATGGGATTTTCAGGTGCGCCAAAAAAGGCTAGGTCTGATATCTACTTCACAATTGATGAAGCCTTTCTCCCTCGACACGCGCTTCTGATGCGCAACAATGGTAGCGCCACTCCTCTCCCACAAGGTATAAATGGATCAAGCCTACAAATAACGCTCAGGGTACGTGATTCGAGCGGCTCAGATTTGGTTGACTGTATTTATCCTTCTTCTAATTCAGAGCCTCTACGCCAATGGGAATCCACCGTGGTCGAGAGAGGAGAATCATGGAATCAATGTGTTCGTTTAGCCATACCTGCTTCTAAAGTTTCAACCTGTCACCTCTACATGACACTTTCTGACATTCCAAATGGGCCACTTGCAACCTGTCATTTGCCTTTGTGGGATCAACAGGCTTTTATACGTGATGGCCACCACAGCCTTTTTCTGTATCGTTATGACGAAATCATGTCTACTTCAAAAGGATTTGAAGGAAAGAATGGATATCTCTACCAACCTTGGAATTGCATCAAAGATGATGCTAGTAAAGATGACATAGTGACTGGTCAGATTGCTACTATGAGAATCCGAACTTGTCTCTGTAGTACTCTGTTCTTGCAAGATCAAGTCCTACTTGGCTTGTTGAAATGGAAAGATCTAAGTGCTACAAAAATACAGCAGCTACTGAAACAACTTGTTTTTGTGCCGGAAATTGAAATTGTGAAACTGCTTAACGATGTATTCAACGTCATCTTTGGGATTCTTGTCCAGCAAGCTGGGAATGACGAATTTGAGGATTTAATTTTCAGCGCTTTAGTAATGGTGTTAGGAATAAGTCAAGATCGACGGTTTAATCTTGGTCCATTAATTGAAAAATATACAGAAAATCAGTTCCATTATCCCTTCGTAAACCCCTGCTTGGTTCGGTCTTTTACGAGGCTGCTCTCTAAACCCTCGGATCCTGAAAACTCCAAAACTTTGAGAGCCACTTTTAAGGTCGTTAAATATATCTTTATATTTATTGCTTATTCTCGAAACCAGCAAAAAGAAAAAGAAGCGGAAATTGGGATTAAAACTAATTGTCCTTCATTTACACACACTTTTACAAATATATTCAAAGCACTTAATGTAATGATGCAGAATAATGCGCCTAGTCTAGTAGGGAGCAAAACACTTGCCGTTCAGCACTTTCACACATGGGTACCCGAGCTAGCCAGACTTTTAAGCGAAGATCAGATCATTCATATTACAATTGAATTTATGAATTCATGCTCAGCAGTAACTGGAAAATTGATTCTATATAAGCTAGTTTTGATAATAAATTTTTCTAAACTAGATCTCTTCTCTGGATCGGAGCATAGGAAAATTCTTTGCTCAAACACTGTCCAGTGGATCGCACCACATTGGGAAACAATAGATGGACCTAACGAACAGTGGAGAGAGCAAGTTCGACTTTGTTGCTCAGTCGTATCATCACAAGCTCAGAGCCTTACCAGTGAGAAAGGCTTATACATACCAAAAATTGTTAAGTCGTACAGTAGTCTACTTGTTGCGTCCAAAACATTAGACACCGATCACATGAAATTTTCGCTTCTCTTTCCCACGAGTTATCCATTTCCTAGCAAACACACATCTGTAGCAACACACTTTGATGAAGCACTAATAGAACTTTCCGCCGTTTTATCGGAAATTATTTTACTACCCGGTGGCATTAATTTTGAAGTTGAAGCGGACCATGTCGATAAGCTTTACCAAGATATCCTCAACGTTTATCTCAGTATTCTTAATTGTGAGGCTTTTCCCTCAACTTGGCTCACTATTCATATCTATCACCATAAGTCAACCATCAAAATACTAGAATTTATCTCAAACTTACTTTTGGAGAAGCACATACCTGATCCGGAAGATGCGGAAAATTACAATACCGAATTATGGAGGGTATTTTTTACCCTTTTATTGAAGCTTATTCGTAGCGATGCACTTGCACTAGAAACTTTCCCTGAGCAAAAGCGAAGGGCAGTTTGGAAGATTGCCGGTGACGTGAGAGAAACGGGTGCAAAGCTGATGCAGAAGACTTGGGAGGCGATTGGATGGGAAACTAGCCCAGATGAAAAACGACGATTTAAACTCTTCAAAATGGGTGGTTATCAAGTTCAATATGTTCCTAGTCTTGTCGGTCCAATAGTAGAGCTTTGCCTAAGCGTGCACGAACATTTGAGAAAAGTTGCGGTTAACATTCTTCAGACAATGATTGTGAGCGAGTGGAATTTATGTGAGGATATCTCTATAATTCAGACTGAAATGATCGACTGCCTAGACCGACTTTTTAAGTCAAAACCATTAACTGAAAGTATTCTTCAGAGACTTTTTATCAGTGAGCTTGAGGCTTTATTCGCGCCCGCTTCTAAGATTCCGGACGATCCACTCTATGTCGCAGTTCAGGGACTAATCACTAACATCTCTGAATTTTTGGACCTCTTAGTTGCTGTATATGGATCAGATATCACAGGCGAAGCTACACACATGATCAACGCCCTTCGACTAATGGAATTCTTGCGTGACATGAGGAAAGATGAGATTTTAATACGGTATATTCACCAATTATCACAGCTCAATCTAAAATCTGGTAATATTACTGAAGCTGGGCTTTCCTTACGTCTCCATGCCGACTTATACGACTGGAATCCAACTCTCATTCTACCGGCACTAGAAGATCCTGAATTCCCTGCTCAATCACAGTTTGATCGCAAAGAGCGCATTTATTTTGACATGATCAAGCTCCTCGAAGATGGTGGAGCTTGGACAAGTGCACTTTGTGCATATCAGGAACTTCAGAAACAATATCAGGAAAATATCTATGACTTTTCTAAGCTAGCCCGAACCCAAAAGGCAATTGGATCTATCTATGAGACAATTTCTAAAAGTGACAAGTTAATACCAAAGTACTTTCGGGTGGTCTACAAGGGGTTAGGCTTTCCTCCGAGTCTTCGAGATAAAGAATTTATATTTGAAGCCCAACCAAACGAAAAATTGGCTGTATTCCAAGACCGATTGCAAGCTGCTCACCCCAAAGCACAAATTATTACAGCTAATGATCTAGAAGATGCTGAGGGGCAATTCCTCCAGATTTTTCCTCTCTCACCGCACAAAGATTTAAAGCACCCTGTACTTCAACGTGTCAAGGTGTCCCATCAAGTCCGAGATTACTTAATGTCGTCATTTCCACAGAGTTTTTCAATAACTTATAAGCGCAACACTTCAGGTCCGGTGACAGAACACACCGCTGAAAAAATAATATACAAGACTGTAGACCGTTTTCCAACTATACTTCGCCGCAGTGAGATTGAGACCGTTGTAAGGGTATCACTAGATGCGCAGGAGACTGGGCTCGAGCGTATTCTTCGCAAAACTGCTGAAATGACAGTAATAGAGAAACGTGTACTCGCTGGCGAGACTGAGATTGCAGCACTCCTAATTGACGCTATCCAAATCTCTATAAACGCCGAATCTAACGCTTCGATTTCGCGCTACCGTGATTTGCTCCCCAAGGTTTATTTCGATGAAAATGGCGAGGAAAAAAGACCCGAACTCACAACCCTTGAAACTGCAATAAAAACGGCTCTTATTGATTATGCTATCATGATAAGACGTTGCTTGGTGATGTTATCCAAACCCGAGAACCACCGCCTGCTAGGTGACGTGGAGAGGGATCTACTTATCCAAGGTGGTTTAGACCTTATTCCTATTACTCACCTATGCTAACATCGAAAAGGCTTTGAATCCACGTTTTCCCCTGAACTAAAATCCTATGCCTTTCCAAATCAACACCATATATCCCCTACTAGTGTTATTGAACCAAATATTTCTTGGTCACTTTCTTCCCCTATATCTCCACTTTCCGCTACCGCCTGGCGAAAATCACAATTAGCAAGCGGCTTGCAGGCTAACTATAAGTCCAGCGGAATGGAGTTACCAGACGTGGCACGTGTTGGAAAAAAACGACTGAGCTTCTTTACTAAGCGCCAAGATCTTCAAGAGTCTAGCCCACAACTTGAGCTTAACCTTCAGGGCTTCTCTACATTCAATTCTGACGGAAACTTCGATGATAGTAGTAGTAGTACTAATATGCTTAAAAAGGATTATACTACTTCCACTACATATGGTCGAGCAGCGCCGAACTTAAGCGAAGAGTCTCATTCGAAAGAAAACTTGAGTAGTCACGAGGAAGAAATGGGCAGGATTCGGGGCTTTATGCATAACACCACTCACGGCCGTAGTAGCCGTCGTAAGCCTAAAATACAGAGAGATGAGGATAACTCTGAGAGCGACCTGGCTCGACGTGGTAGCATAAAACATAAACAACATGGCATTGATTTAAATCAAGGTGTTGCACCATCTGCTAAGGGTGGTTTCGAGAAGATGGCAGTTGGTGTTAGGAAGCGTTTTAGTTTTGTCGGACTAGGATCAATGAGGATAGCCACGGGTGGACTTGCCCGAAATGCTGTCGCTGAGGAGAATTGATTATACCAAAATTTACATCCAACTTTCTGGTACAGTTAAACGGACCTTGGGGCGCAAAATTGCCATGTATCACAGGACGCGAATTTTTCTGAAGATTTGATGGCGTTCTAGGGTATAAATTTCAGGGATTGGCCAAATTTGAGCAAGAGCGCTCCTGGTATTTAAGCTACACGCGTCTAATGTATGGCTTAAATGAAGGCGCCTGATTAAAATGGAAGGAAAAAAGAGATTCAGTCCTAGAAATTAGGGAAATTTGTACTTTCATAAGATTCTCTTCAAGTGTATCAGATTAAGATTTATAAGATACGGATGTGGTCGAATTTCCGCGTCGAGGTTTTCTCCTTAAGCAAATCATCAAATACTAGCCCCTCACTGTTGGAGTGAGTGGTCGTTTTCTGTGTATTATGTTTGTTCTATCCGTAAATATCGCTGATATTGTTTGGATCTAGACCTGTATTGACTATGTTCTGATGTCAAAAATCTTCAATAACATAAACATCAGTTTCTCCCGCACGTGCACCGACCTGAATTTGTCTAATTTCGGCCACGTAAAACTCACAAATTTCTCCACTCGGAACTAGAGTTTTAGATTGCGTCTCGACCTTGAGTTTAGCTAAATTAGATTGGTCTGTTAAATCCTCACACATGCACCAGCATACTAGATCTAGTCATAACTAGCTAGCTAGGAGCGGAGTCTAATGGCAATGTGTAATGACTCACAATGCTTTTACGGGCTGTGCCCCGTTCGATTAGGCTGGTCCTGAAAGATAGCCCAGCCTCGTTCATGGATATTAATCAGGTGATCTGTCGTAGAGTGGTTTCTCACGATTCGAATCACTCAGTTAATTATGCTGAGGCTGGGGACCAGATCACTCAGTAGCGAAGGAATGTGTCAGGAATCCAGATCACTGGTAGCTGCAGAGCGTATATTTACTGTAACGAATTTCCCGTAGTAAATCTCTTCAGGAAATATTAATTCTTTGCGGTACTGTATACGTGCGGTGTCCGTAATTCTCTTCGCCCGTAACAAATGCAGACTGTTAGGAAATTATTACTAATACCTTCCTACACAACTTATGAAATTTTTTATTAACAAACACGGCAGTGCTTTACAATAGCGTAGCTGGACCAGATAATGAAATGCGAAAAATTGTACTATATTATCCCTCATTATTAGAAAAGCCGCTCAGAGTACTTCAAACTGCTGTGTCAAAGTGATAGTTGTATCTTAACTACCTTTCTTTAAATTAGGAAAAAATGATATGAATTTCAGCGGAGATCTTGGTTCCATCATAGATACTTTCCATACCATAGTAAATAGTGTTAAAATCTAGACATAATTAAGTATTCAATTATCCTGAATTGGCGCCTTGAGGCGTATGCAGGTTTTATCGGAAGTTATATACTTTAAGTAGGATAACTCAATTTGACGTTTAGAACACTCACACTCAGGCTTTATTTGCTGATACCACTCGAGGTTAACCCTTACGGCGTAAAGCCTCTTCCGTGCGTATCCACCACAGGGAAAAGCGTGAAAACCCTATGGTCATCCAAGTGTGCTTTCACCATCCCACAAATACAATATCACCGCTATAAATAGTGGTGTGTGGATTTTACTAGATTCGAACCAGCTTTCTTCTTTGAAAACCATGTTGGAAACTATATTTTCGAGGTCTTGTCTTGTTCATTTACGTGCTAGGTAAAGTGACTACCGCTGCACTCCTGCTGGAGCTTAAGCACGGGTGGGGCCGAGCCGGATCAGGTTAACTACCGTAAAGTACAAGTGCCTCATCCCACCTAAATGACCGGATGACCTCAGACTTCACCCATGTGTTGAATCATGTCAAGTCCAGCCGTCCAGAGAACCCACATTTGGCGCGCCGAAGCGCAATCTCCTCCTCAGCCTCTGCCACTACATGCCCGAGCCCTTGACACCTTCGCGATATGTGACTTTTCCCTTCGATTCATTCCCAGCTTCGGCTCATCTCAGCATCTCCTCATCTCATGCAAGGGTCGTTTTCTTTACTGGAGGCCTCATCCAGTCGCCCACCAAGGCCTCCTCTATTTGTATTCCCTTTTAGTTCCTTCATACAGCATCTCTCTGTCCTTCAGTCGATATCTTCATCCCAGAAACCTTGTAGTATGTCCACCCCTCCGGCCTTGCCCCGTTGCTGCCGTATCCCTAACCATGGAGGTCGAAAACGCGACTGAGAGCTCAAGACCGAGGCTCTGGTGCCCCAGCCTTTGTCGAAAGCTCTGGTTGGTGTGCCGGCGAAATGTCGTGCGTATTTCGTCAGTGGCGATTCGTCGCAGGTCGAGTTGTTGGTGCCCTCAGCCGAGATGAGGACGCATCTAAGGCCGGTATTTCCACCGTACCTTCACAGCGACTGGCACTTGCGGAGGGTCAGAAATTCTTTTGCTTCTTTGTTGACGATTTAACTTTTGGAGGTATGGGATGAGATGATTGTGGAGAGGGCCGCGAGATGAGTTAGGCTGGGAGTGGTTTTCCAGGGAAAATAAATTAATATCTTGATGTTATTGGTTGTTGTAATACGAACATCAGATAGGTTTTAGCCTGTCTACGTTTCGTACCTGTGGTGTAGACGGTTGATTTCGTTGAGTTGTGCAGTTGTAAAATCTCTGTAAGTCGGCTTTTCGACCAGAGATTAGCGAACACCGCTCCTCCCGATCGCCAACTCGAAGAAAGCTCTCAAATTCACCCTTTGTCATGACTGAATCTCGGCTCTGGGAGAATATTTCACTCTCAGGTTCGTAGAGGGCACCACTTACAGGTGTTCAGCCTTCGCCCTCTGAATCAATGGCTGTTTTGTTTTAGTTTGCTTGTTGTTATATGTGCTAGGTTACATGACTACCGGGGGACAATTCTCAACACCCGTCAGTGGTGTCCCCTACTAACCTCCAACTCTCACTGTAGGGTCTACAGAGCCGAGATTGAGTAACAAAGTCCTCACTCCGACGAGGATTCCCAATCGCTTTCGCGTTCTGTATCGTCTTCATCTCTCAACACATTCCCCTATCACCATTACCATGAAGCTAACCACGATCAGATCAGATGGTAGGGTCGGAGCCCTGCTCATCACCAACCCTTGATCATGGAGGAGATGCCATCCGATGAGTTTCCGGAGCGTACCCAGCACCCGATACGGAGATGGTTGATTGGATCAAGTCGGCCTCGACTGTTACAAAGAAGGGAGATATAGATGAATATGCGCACCTCATGTGGTCCCGGTGTCTAGGCCTCGCCTGGCTGGGGCTGCAGGTATTTTGAGACTTTTTGCCGCGCACGCAGTTTCCATTACTACTATCTTTATTTTTTTTGGGTAGAAGGTTCCATGGAAAAGGTGGCCGAATTCCACGGGTAAACACTGAGCTGAATGGTTATTCATCAAGGGGAATTTCTCTATGATCTTTCAAGTAACAAAAAAGGATAGGAGCACTATACAAGGTGTGGCCTGGGTCAGAGAGGAGCCCAATGTGCTAGATAGTCATAGACTCAAGTAGTACAATAAAATACACACATACATACATGACTACCTTCGCACTCCTACTGGAGCTTGAGCCCGATTGGGGTCGGGCCGGATCAGGTTAAGTACCGTAAAGTACAAATGCCTCGTCCCACCTAAATGACCGGAACCATGCCAAAATGCATCTATGTGTTAAGCCATGACGAATTCAGCAGCCCAGATTGAAAACAAACCAAAAACTTTCACGCGAAATCCCACATTACAAAAGAAAAACTTAAACAATCTCCCTTCCGTGGTTCCGCCTCAGCCACCACGCGCCTGAGCCTCGATTCCAATCTCTCTGTCCATGCCAAACCATCTAGGCCTTTGATCTATCACCTCCGAGTCACTGGTATCCCTGCCATCCCCCGACTAGCCATCGCGTATATTCAACTGTCCTGGACGTAGTCCCTGAACAGCTGCCATCTCCTTGATCCGAACATTGTTTCCAGAGCCGGCGCCCATCGCTTTCCGCTTTTCAGCCGCCATGTTGCCAGTGCTTTTCGACGCTGGACAAGGTGACCAATTGATTTTCCCCTCCCACACTAGCAGTAGAGTTTGGCGTCAGTGTGGTTGAAGCGGCGATGATATGCCGCAAAGTCCCCATGTCCAGCTCGAGCAGCGATTAAGCGGGCGTAGACAACTCTAAGTAGCGCTAGTTCTGGCGGTTTCTTGCGCCGCATCTCGAGTTCAAGGTCGGCGTATTGTTTGGGACGATTCGAGTGCCACCAGTCTGTCAACACCTACCTTGCCAGTTCACGGGCTTTCCGTCCAGATGAGGCGAGGGTCATCATACCATGTGTCGTCCTAGAGTTGTCCGGCGAGTTAAGCTCTCTTCGAGCGAGTTCATCGGAGATTTCATTTCCTGCTAGCCCTTCGTGGCCTAGGATCCATCCTATTTTTTACAGGTGCGGCTGTTCCCACGGCCAGTTTCACAAACTTTTTGATACGCCAGGATGATGAGCCCGTTGTTCCCGTCAGTAAAGCCTTAACAGCCGCAGAATTGTCGAGCAGGAGATAGATGGCGCTGCGTCCTCGATCTAGATTGCTGGCAGTAATTGTTTCTAGAGCAGCAAAAGCTCCATGAACCTCTGCGTCGTAGACCTCCGCATTGGTAATTTTGCCTAAGCCGCTTTGCTCGATTGCCCTGCCTGTGCCGCTGATAAAAGTCACAAAGCCCCAGAACCATCACTATAAACGCAGAGACAATCGGGTGGGAGTGTAGGTATCCACTCTCATATGAACTTGGCAGCCTCTTTCTTGCTTGTCCAGCAGGGAATTGGCCGAGGGGGGACCGGAGGTCGGAGCGGTGGGGTTAGTTAAGCCTCAGGTAGAAGTCGATACATCCTCTGGACCCTCGAATCATGAACTCTATCCCGACCAAGTCTGGTTTTATTGCATGTCTTGAGTTCTAGTCGGTGACGAGCGCTGTCAGTGCTTTCCGCGGCCCGAAGTCGAAGCGGATGATAATCATCC